GAAAGCCCTGCTGCCGAGATTCACACATCGGCTCAATCGACCGCAACTGTGCTGCAAATGGGCAACCGGCAAAGCATCGTCAGCAGTAGCAAGGTCCGGGTAGCTTTTGATTTGTTGTGTTGCGGGTGCTTTGGAAAGCTTCCCCGACGCAGGTTTCTGCACTTGCTTGGTCATGGGGTTTGGGGATTTGAGGATGAGCTGACATGGAATCTGCCGTGACCGGAAGTATACACAACTGGTCGTCGATCCAACGAAAGTGGTTGAGGGCTTGTAGGGCTCAGAGGGATTGGGGTTTGGAGCTTGCACAGTGGTTGAAGTGCTTAGTCCTATATCATCTTCATAGTGTTGTTATCACGTTTCTCAGTGGTTCAAGTATGAGAAGTTAATCAAATAGTTCACATAATCAAGCAGTTCGCGGTACGGTGAGCACCATAAGCTCGATAGATGTAGCAGAACCAGCCCCAACATCGCTTTCCAATCATCCAATAAAGGGCTGAGTCTGCTTACCAGCGCACGAAATAGGATCCATGCGGCGGTCCGGAATTGGGCTGTCCTGAGGCACGCACATCCATTTCGGCACCCCGCCGCGCACCTAGCAGGGTGGTCTCGTAACGGACAGGGAGCTGGACGTTTTACTTCCGTCCGAGAATTCATGGCTGTTGGATTGGAGCCATTAAACCCCAAACCCAGGTCGAAGATGGCAGTGGTCTTCGCAAAGCTTGGCGTGGGGACTTAGCAGCAAGAGTTCAGGGCATGTTGAATGGTATTCCCTTTTCTATGTAGGCTCAAGAGCTTCTTTCGAGTGCTCCTTTGGGCTCTGGGCTTTCTACGTCCGTCCTTGCGGTGCTTGTGGACTGTCAGGGCTGCGGCTAGGTGTTCTTCTGCTCTTAGAGCTAGGGCAGAGGAGTTCAGGGTGTGTCTGGCTGGGGTGGTTCGGAGTTCTGGAAAGGCGTTGGTTGGATGTTTTGTAGGACTCGGATCTAACAAACTCTTGCAACGTTGAGCTTTGCTGTAACCTTCCACAGTGGATTCATTTCGACAGTGTTAGGAAAGAGCTCATCACTTACCTGGACTTAAGGCAGGTGCCAGCAGCATGTAGTAGCTGCAGATTTGGAGTACATGGTGAGTACGAAGTTGGTATTGGGGTCAGAGTGGACTGGGGTGACAGAAGCTACCGAAGGCGGCATCAAAAGTCAGCGGAAGTGTCACAAGAGGGGTGCTCCAAATGTTTCAGGTCAGAGTGGGCCACTCCAACGCCTCTCCCCACCTCAACGCTCTCCCCAAAACCCTGGAAACACACAACACGTAGAACTGGAAGGCGCTCGAAAAGCTGCTTTGAGAAAGCCTTGTAAGCTCGCGGAACCACATCGGAGCCGCAGTTCGCTGAACTTTTTACTGCCTTCAAAAATTCGTTCTCCATGAAGCTCTATTCTCCTAGTGTTGCGGACCCTTTTTGCCTGAGCCCGAAGTCTGTTCCTCATTCAAGGCATTCTCGACCGAGTATGCGGTTTGTTTTGCAAAGCACTGTAGCTTGGGGCTTGGGGTCTGAGAAGGGGTTATCAAGTAACAAAGCCTGAATAATCACCAATATTGACCAATATTTTCCTTCGGGTTCCTACTATTGTTACAGCATGCTATACCCCCAAAACGGTTTCAAATTATTGCGGCCCCTTTAGCAAGGGTCTTTTCGAGCCAGCTCCTCAGGTCTGGCTACATTGCTCCAGGACTGACCGTAGCTTTGTCGACGGATGTTTGCCCACGTCCGGACGATCACCTTCTCAAAGGCTCCACGTGCCCAAACAGTATACACTTTGGCCTTGAAGTAGTCCCTACTTCTTGGGGGAGTTTGGCCTACTTGGGCACTTTGGACCAAATGACCAAAGTGTATACTCTTTGGATATATGGACCCGTATAGCCTATGAAGTGAGGCTTTGCATGACTTGGGCATGCGAGGGGCTTGGAATGTGAGCTTTAAAGCGGCCACACAGTGATCCTAATTCCCACCACGAAATCCGAATTTCAGGAACTTTCCATGTAGAGTCCGAGTTACAGAAAGCCCTGCCTACTGAAGCTACGGCAGGACATCCCACTCCTGCTCGCCGGCTCCTTAGGTTCGCATCAGTCACCTGAAACTCACAGGTCTACAGTGCTTAATTAAGTAAAGCAGGCATGCACACCAGGTGCCAGCACATAAGAACTGAAACACCGTGCCATTGATTCAGTTTTGGATGGGGCGGCGCACACCTGCTACCATCGAAACTCTGAGGCGCTTTCAGCCAAGATCCCCAAATCCTATAATTACACCCTATAGAACCCAGAAGCTCGGGCTCCGGCTGCCCGAATATTCCCACATGCCATCACCCCAAACCACGAAGGTGCATCTCTGCGTCCCTCATCCGTACCACCCTAAGACAGAGACTTTAAGACTTTAACCTCAAAGCCTTCAAGCACGAAATTTAAAATCCTAAACAACCACAGCCCACGTTGAGGTGCAGCTCTACGTCTGGCTCATCTGGCGGAACCTCGCACCGAAGGCTCGTCCGACCTGCTCGGGAAGAGAACTTCCCGCCCGTGTCGAGGTTTAAAGGGCTGTAGCTATGGTCTCCATTGTAGTTCCTTTTTTTGGTTAACCGACTTTATGGTTAGGATCCTATAATAGAGATTTTGGTTAACCAAAAAAGGAACTACAATGGAGACTATAGGTAAGGTTTAGGTTCAGGGCTTTAGGCGGTTCCAGATCTCCTGCACAGTTTTGAGGGCTAACATGAGTAAAATTCAGGCGTTGGAACTCACGAGTTTAGGTTTGGGTTTCGGTGAATGTTGGGGCTTGTGGCTCCTGGAGGAGTTGGCTTTAGAGATTGATGCTACTCCATAGACTTCCCACCAACATTCCTGGGTTGACCGAGTGTGTAGAGATAAAAAGCTCTCGAAGTTGGGAGGAGTTGCTCCTGCATTAAGTTGCAGGTGAGCCTGCTGTGTTTCGCTCTCAAAGCGCAGAGCATCATCACCACCGTGCTGCCGGCAAGAATTGGACTGACCCAGGAGGGTTTTGGGATGTCTGGAGGCAAGTTCGGTCGCCATGAGTGGCACAATGAATGAACCGTAGTGTTGCAGATGTTGGAGGTGACCGTACTACTGTTTCTTTTCGGGCACTGATGGCTCGAGGACGCCAGAGGCCCAAGAACCGATAGGTCAGTGAATATTGAAGATGACATCATGGCTTCTAGCCACATCGTTGCCACCGGCGACATCTGCAGTAAGCTCAACAGCAAAGGAGCAACGACGACGACAAGGGCAGAAGCAAACATCTTGCCGCTGCCACGCGGACCACACCAGCACAATGCACATGGCAGAGACTGCCACCGTGACACCTGCATCTTGATGGCCATCACCAGTCACTAGCATGATGATGATGATGATGGTCATCATCATCATCATCAACATCATGTTCCTGAGTCACCACCATCACGGTCATGAGCATCCTGAGCAAGCGGAATCAAAGCATCATCGTCACCATCTACTCGTACCTTCAGAGAACAAGGGAAAGTGTTCCTAAGCCTGCAACTCCGTGTGCATGCACGAACCCCCAAAGTTGAAAAGCGAAGATCCCCAATCCTTCCAGCGGCCACGATGAATCGTGGAAAGCATCCCCGGGCCTCCGATGTGAAGAAGCAGAGGTACTGTAACGAAGGGAGCGACGAAGGCGGCACCGTGCAAATGGGGCACTCTGTCTTCAGATTAACTTAGAAGTTGAGAATGCCCAACTCTGGACTCGGTGTATGGATCTCAGTATCAACTTAGCATGTGCAAGGTGAGGGCTCCGCGGACCAACGTTAGTAGCAGCACCAGGTTGCATCAGCGTGTGCGCAAGCTAGACACCCCACCTCAAGATCCTAGACTCTGCACCCCTTATTGGCACTACCTTGACGTTATATGACTGTTACAAAATGCTCTTGAAACCTCTGTAACTGTAATGCCTCTGTTTCTCAAGCCTTTACTATGCCAGGTCCTCCACCATGCCTTCTCGCGTTCACAGCGCGCAGCGTGCGCTTGGCATGCTTAGTCATTTAGGCGTTTAGTGTTAAGGTAGTAACGGCCTTGGGATGCAGTGTTCAGAGGCGTTTTGTTCAGGGTAGGGATGTTGACAGATTTAGCGATCTGAGACTTCACGATTCAGCGAATGCAAGTGGAGGCCCACAGCCCCGCACCCCCCCAAGCCCGAAATAACACAATATGCCCTAAACCACAAACCATCAACCAATAAACCCTAAACCCATAAGCCGTCAGCCCTTAAGGGTTTAGGGGGGCGGTTTAGAAGTTTAGGGTTTGGGATTTGGGATCATTGCCGACACATCGGACAAGAGTTCATCGATCCTCCCCCGGTTGCGTGAAAAGGTGACCGTGAAAGGAATAGTGCTTAGGGTTTAAGGGCGCCTGAAACACACATTCCTCCCACACCTAGAGATCATCCTGAGGAAGCCGGTTCTGCATGCAAATGACTTCGGTGCGGGAACGTGGCGCTGTGCACACATCTTATACACACAGTTACATACAGGTACATGTATACAGATATGTACATGAAATAGAGATAACAAGCAACATGTACATATACACACCAAGCTCCGACTCTCCTGCCCGAACCCCGGAACCCCTGACTAGAGAAAATCCAAAGAAGTGCCCACCAGCCAAAGGTACGAGCGAGTCGTGAAGTTGCTGGGCTTGCGGCGCCTTACAGCAGGCCGAAGACATGGGTTTGTATTGTGCTGTACTATACTCTAGTGCGTTGGAAGCAGCCGGCGCCGCAGAGGCTTGCAGGAGTTAGGAAGCACGAGTCAGTCGGGGAGAGATACTTCAAGCTTTCTTCCAGTCTTTCCACCGCACATCCGAGACTTCTCAGCTTTCAGCTCGATTTTAGTGCCACAGGTCTCTGCGTAGTTCGATTTTCGGGAAGCCTGGGGTGGAGGCAGGTTTTCGGGTAGCGAGCCGGAAGCCCAGCTTTCATGACAGGCTTCTTCGACGTCAGTGCCGGCGTCGGCACTCAGGCCGCGACAGGGTTAGGATAAGCCATTGTCCGCGAGTCAGCTATGAAACCACGCCGATCTTCCAGTATCCTTGGGACCAAACTCTTCCGAAGCTCAGCAACTCACATCCGGGTGCCCGTTCGTCTTCGTCGACTCACATGAAGCAGCTTATGCAAGGGCGCGGTGCGCTTTTCGAGCAGGAGGGATTGCGGCCCAACTGATCGTCAGCCGATAGTCCGCAGTCCTCTCCCAAAAGGTGGAATTCGGAGGAAAGGCCAATTGAAAAGCTAGAGGCTTGTGCATCGTAACAACAAATCCGAACCCTCGGACCGAATTCGACGAGCTCTCTCCGAGGGAGTCGGGCTTAGGGAATGATCATGCAGGCTCTAGTCGGCATTCTATGAGGGATTTTTGGGGCCATGTATCCGTTCCTACATTCAGGATGCCTCTGACTCAGAAGGAGCCAGAGAGCCGTAACCTCTGAAACCCAAGCCTCACCAAACCCTCTTAATACCCCGTAGCCCTTGAAAGGAATCCTTTAAGGAGCCCTGTAACCGCCGAAACCCTAAACCCTGTAACCCCTGAAACTCTAAACCGCACTGTACCCCTAAACCCACCAAATTCTGCTTGCAGCAGGCAGGGAAAGGAAGCACCGACGGCATGCGAACTGGCGGAGGGCATCTCGGATGACCAAACAAAGCAGTTCAATATTCGGTGTTGAGGGTTTGCGGTTTTTGTGAATAACTCAAGCACAGCCATTCTTCGGACCCTTTGGGGTCATAGAGCCTGGCATAGACTGTGCAAAACGCCCAAGCCGCCCGGTAGAAATGTTCAACAACCCTGACGCGTATGGGATTCCTGCAAGGAAGCGGACAGACGAACTTGGCCTCGCTGGCATGTATACAGGGTTCAGTGCTCAAGGGTATAGAGGATTCTTATAGGATGTAGGGTTTAGGGTTCAGGGTTCAAGGGTAAAGGATTCTGAGATTTACGGTTTAGGTGTAGGGTTTAGGGTGTTTCACCCTTAGGCACGGGTGGGGTTTGATTGTGTGGTTTGAGCGGGTCTAGGATATATATTCTAGGGGGCGCAATGAGGGGGCTCCGGTGAGGAGATCTGAGCCCGAAGCACCCGTTCTCAAAGCGGAAGTTCAACTAACTAACGCCTTAAACTCGAAACCCGCTCGACTCATTGCTTTGCCCTACCAGCACGCGCCAAACGTCACCATACAGCGATTCGAGTTGATAACGATGGTCGTCTCTATAGGGTGTGGTTTAGGGCTTATAAGCCCTAAACCCCAAACCCGAGCCTGAAGCCCAGGGCTTGAAATGCGCCACTCCTTTCCTGCGGCTCAAGGCCGAACCTTGCGAATTTAGACGGTGCTATAGGATCTCCCACCCTCAAAGGAAACGGAGCTGAAGCTTATTCTCCCAGAAACTGCAATCCTCCAGACTGCAGGTATGAAAACTCAAGCAGCGTGATCACCAACCAAGCCCGAATTACTCGAAACCCTACCGCCCTGCACCCCAAGCCCTAAACCCGAAACCCCGAACCCCTAAACCCTATAAGCCCTAAAGCCTTAAAGCCCAAAGCAGAAAGCCTTTTGGCGGTGGCAGGTGAGACCTTCAACGCCGAAGGCGTCCTGGATCCAACAAAGCTGGATCCCATCCAGGTCTCCGGAGGGGTTTATGGTTTGGGGTTTTAGTGTTTTAGGGGTTTAGGGTTTAGGGTTTTAGGGATTGAGGGCTTTAGGGGTTTAGGGTTTATAGGGTTTAGTGGTTGAGGATTTAGGGCTGCGGGTGTGAAGTTTGATGCTAGCAGGAGTGGAGCTTAGGGTTGCGGGCTTAGCGCTCAAGGAATCAGCGTTTAAAGTCGTCGATTTAGAGGGTTGAAGCGCTTCCGGGGTTGTGAGTGTAATGTTGCGGGTTTCGGGAGCGCTTATGACGCGCCTTCGCATGCGTTCGTCTTATGGACTGTCAGTTTCACTTGTGCAAACATCAATCAGGCATTTTAGGATTGAAGGCTTGGACCCCTTCAGCGTCACAAGTTGGTTTGGGAGGATGCGTCATTACCCCTAAACCGCATGCCCTACACCCACCGCTGCAAATCCTAAGCCCCAAACCCGATGTCGCTAGACCTCATAATCCTATACACACCCTTAGACCGTCCAGGCTGCCATGTACGTGGCCCAGATGTACGACAAGAAGCAGAGAAATCAGGAGGAGGAGAAAGAGGACGCAAGAAGGGAAGGGTTTAGGGAGCTAGAGGTCATAGGGTTTAGATTCAGGATCCTTCCTGCTTTTGCATGCTAGGGCTTAGGCTGTTGAACTCTTGGGGATTCCAGGAGTAGGGTTTCCTGGCTGAGGGTCTTGGGTTTGAGGGGCTTGACTTGGAGCTGCGGGGTTGAGTCGGAGTTGAGGTGCGAGGCTTCTAAGTTTCTGGGTGTACGGGTTGGGACAAAGGGGTTCTAGTTATAGGGTTTAGGGATCTTTAGGGCTTATTGGGCTCAAAGCCTTAGGGGCTTTGTGTGTAGGGCGGCCGCAAGCGGATACTTCACAATGCCGTTATAGCTCCATTTTGATTTGCACGCGGGCATAGCTGGCTTATGTGTTTGCTGTTTGCAGCTGCAGTTTCTGGGCTGTGAGTGGGTTGTGAGAGTTTTGGTTGCTGGGTCTGTGTTTGTTTGCGTTGTGTGGGGCTGTGTACGTGTCCAGAGACCGAAACGATACCCCAAGCCGCCGCAAACTTGCTGCTAACCCAGCGAAGCCCCTGAAACCTTCAGCCATGTAAGCTTTGTCCGGCTGCTGATCCTGCAGACATCCCAAACCTCGATGGCTTGTGCATGAAACAACTGAATCCTGAAGCGCCTAAATAAATATCCTCGCACCGTACCGACATATTGCGGTTCGAGACGTCCGCTCCAATCTAATCCCAACAAATGCTCAACGGTTTTCGGCATAGTATACATTCAACCCCAAACCGATATCATGTTGTCCAGCTCCCTGCAATCAGTCGTTCCTGAGTTCTTGTTGGTGAACTTATTGTTTAAGTTACCGTAACAGAGATCTTCGTAGTCTAAACCATGTGGTTAACTTAGTCGATAGGTCAACCTTAACTCAAGAGCCCTCTTTCTATCCCTAGACCTCCAGTTGCTTAAACAACAGGTTACTAACCATACAGTATGTAATTTATTCCTAAACCCTAACCCAGTAAATCATTCTTTAGGTAACTGGAGCCCTCTTTCCTTGGTAGCTGAGCAGGTAACCTTTAACCTTTAGGGATTTATATAATCCTACCATCGTTGAACAGGTTAATTAACCTTTTCTGGTCTAGGGTACTCAGCCCCCAAGTTTGTATGGCAGGAGGAGCTCTCCTCTGACAGCGAGGCAGGTCTGCTGCGGAGTCTGGCGTTTCGGGCTTTCAGGGTTTACAGGGGCTTCGGGTAGGCTGTGCCTTTATCCTTTGCGTTGGAGTTTCAGGGCCTTGCTTGATTCAGAGATGCAGATACTCTACAGTACCCGGGGTGTAGGGTTTACATAGAGCTAGAGTGAAGGTGCTGACCCGGTTCGTGTAGTGGAGGGAACAACGTCGAATCGATTCTAGGGACTGTATGATGATGCACAGTTCTTTACACACTTACCCCTAATCCCTCATATCTGAGCTTGCACCCGCCCCAAAACAAGCCCTAGTCATATGAGAGGCAAACTCGCCACATCCCAACAGCCACAGCTGAACCGGTGTATTGCTCCTGAGCAAGCTGTGTCCACCCTTGCTTGTAAAGCCCTCGTTGGCACAATCCCACACGATAGTCCTCCAATTTCTTCGGCCACCTGATTCAGGGTTTAGGGTTCAGAGGCTTGGGGTTGAGTTGGTCTCGCAAATGCTCTTCACAGCTCGCAGATCCTTGAAGAGAGTCCTCACTTGAGGTTGTCCGCACTGGCCAGAGGCATGAAAGCCCCAAGCGGTCGTAGGCTGCGAAAGTCTTGCCACACCCACACCGGTTGGTTCGGGCTTGGTTCCAGCATTTTGCACCCTATTCTGGAAAGCTCAAAAATCCACACAGCAGCTAAAGCGTGTACTAGGGCTTTGGGCTTAAGCCAAAAAGCCGGAGACTATCCGTTTTTTATCTGATTGCAGGAAGGAAGCGGCAGCTCTGAGGGAGAGCCTCGGAAGCCTTTTGGGTGTTGCGGCAGTTTTGGTGTGGTTCGGTTTGGGAGTTTCGGTGTACTGAGGTCTATAATAAGCCTAGGGCGTAGAGTCCTCCCTTACCAAAGTCCCTAGGAAAGCTTAAACCTCTGCCTCAAGCAAAGCAGGCCGCCGAAAACAGCCAACCAACAAGTGCTTAATCAGCCCAGCCCCAGACTCATTAGACCCCCTTTCGGATTTAGCCATGAACTGAATGCTTCCGAATCAATGTTAGGGCTTCCTCCCACGGTTTCAAGAGTGATGGCCTCAGGTGTTGAGGCTTCTACTCGTACTCAAAGGTTTTAGCTTCTCAGATTCAGGTTTAGGGTTTAGGGTTTAGGAGGTTGAGGGGGTTTAGGGTTTAGGGGGAGTTCCTGGGAATCCAGAGGGCAGGCTCATAGCAAGCCTGAAAGATACCCTTAATCTACAACCTCTTCGGGAACCCCTGTAAAGCATTCAGACATATGGGAGTTTCCGAACATCGGGGTACCTTATTTTGGGGTCCTTATAATAAGGATCCTACTATTTAGGGTACTATATTGGGGTCCCTCATTTTTGGAAACTCCCATATAATATTGAAACCGGTAGAAATCCGTTCCTATAGAATCCATAAAGGACCCGCTGGTGAGACTTATCAGACCCCTTTGGAAGCCTAGGGGCTTAGTAAGTATAAGGTTATAAGTGAACGTGCAACTATGATAACCCTAGTTAAGGCCCCTACTTAGGTACCTAATATGCCATCATTATTATGGATTCTTTTGTTTGGGGGGGGGGGGGTAATAATCAGCAGCCGTCATTAGGGGACTTACAACCCCCAAATATACTAAGTCTCTTGAGCCCTCATGTAAACGAGCCTCCCACAAGCCAAGGAGGGAGATGACAAAGCCAAGGCACGCGAGTTTGCAATTGAAAGCTAAATTACCGCAACCCCAACCCCTAAACTCCTACACCCCAAACGTTCAGTTGTACGGCTTGTTTGTTCCGGGCTGGATGGTTTTGAGTTTAGGTTCAGGGCTTCTTCAATCGAAGAGACTTGGTGGTTTGACCGTTGTGGGGTTGGAGATTTCGGGGGTTTTCGGTTCAACTGAGGCTTATGTAATTACCTTAAACTGCCAGCACCCGTGTGTTTTCAATTTTTCTGTAGAGTAGCTGATCGTAGGCCTAGAGAAACGGGTAGGGTATGGCAAGTTAAGGTATGGTTCCCAGGCTGCTCTTTCTACACGCGCTTTGCATGGGAGCTAGGTCGTCGCGGCTTAGATCTGTCGGCAGATTGTAGCGTAGTTATAGTACTGTCCAGTATAGTATACTACAGCATAGTAGAGTGGAGCATACTGAATTAGTATACTTCTGTGTTCTTGCTTGCAGCCGTGCTGACCAGGTGACACAGTTGACATTGGCTTCGGCTCTGTTGCGCATGTGAGAAATACAGATGTGAAAAGAACACCTCTTACACCTGAGCAGGTCCCGAAACTCAGGCCAATACCTGAACCCGAAAATTCCAAACCTTTAAAACTTTGAAATTAACACCCAGTGGAGTTGCAATATGGTTACAATCATTCACTGATCACCATTGGGAGATATGCATACGCGGATTTTGACAGATCGCCTACAGTGTTCATGCATGCCACAAGTAAAGGCAGAGCCCGGCCAAGGGACAACAAAGTCGTGCATCCGAGCTTCATGTGTGCAGGATGCGTCAAAGTCACAGTCAAGAGCTCAGTTCGGTCGCTGTTTGTGTACATATAGACCTCAAGCCCTATGCCGCTATACCATGAGTCCTTCCTTGAACCTAGGGCCGTTGCTTCGCAATTCTGTACTTTGCGCAGGTGATCAGTATGAGAAAGCTCTAGAACCTTAGGGTTTAACGTTTTGGGCTGATTTTACGACATTGGACCCCAAACAAACAGCCGTGCGTGTGTTCAAGCAAGGACCGACTTGCAACTGAAAGGCAATGTCGCTTCCTCCGGTCCAACAAGCCTGCGTCCCTGACTGAACCGTGAACCGAAGCAGCCTCGATCGATCCCTTGCTAATTCTTCGTTGCATTTTTTTGACCGCGGGCATAGTTGATGATAGTATGCACTGAAACAGCCTACAGCGTAAGTCTGCTACAAGGTACCGCGAAGCCTATTCCTTTTAGGCCCCACATTATACTCGTCATCCCCACCAGACCCGAACCCCGAGGTCCCACCACCTGCACGAAGACACGCGTCACCACTGGCGCACTCGGATCTCTCAAACCTGCTGAGAACCTTACTAAGGCCCTCAACCCAACACCCTAACAAAAAGATCCCCTAAACCTTATAAACCCTTACAAAGCCCTTCACCCCTGAAGTCTTGGCAGGGCACGGGCAGCCTCGTGCTTCCGAGCTCGCTTGCATGCAGAGTTGAACGTCTTGCATAGTTGTCGGAGTAGTTCAGACGGCTTCTTACCAGTACTATTGTAAAGCAAGATCTTTCATAAGGCGATGAAAGAGTCCGGTTGTGCTACCGCTTTCCTCTTGCCAGGTCCGGCAAGACGTTGTATCCACCAGGCCAGGCATCGCAGGATTCACACATCTTGCAGGGGTCTCGCAGATTTTCTTGTGTGTGTGTGTGCGTGCGTGTTGAAAGTGAATTATGATTAGTTAGAGGAATTGTTGTGCGGACATCCGTCTGACGAAGGCCTCTACGAGAAGATGAAGAAGTTCTACTCCTTGCCGCAGCCATGGTGCGAGCTTTCGGGTTGCTGTTCCCGGACCCTGGGACTGCCGGATCCCCCCATGTTTCTGTACTTTGTCCAGCTGATCTTAATTTTGCATTTGAATAGTTGTCAAAACTCACATTTTCTTCCTCACCCTCTCATTCCATATCCAACTCGAAATCCTGGCATGAGCTACCAGCTCCTGTCTCCTTGTTGTTCGGCCAGTGCGTGAGCAACTGGAACCTGAACTCGAAACCCTACAACCCTAAAGCCCTAAGCCGCTATACCCGAAACCCTAAAACCATAAACTCCCATAGTATACCTTTGGGCCCCGAACTCTGAGCAAGCAAGCCTTGAGGCCCAAGTTTCACACCCCAGACCCCTGAAGCCTTCAAGCCCCAAGAGCCCTAAACCGCAAGACCTAAGCCCTGTAAAACCCAAACCCCATAAAGCCCTACTAGGCCCAATATGCCCGTTTTACCCAAAACCGCATAAAGCCTTAACACACCATGTAAAACCTAACCCTAAACTCTAAACCCTATGAGCCCCAAGCATCGAAGAGCAAGAAGGCATGACCCGACGAAGTCCCTCAACCCTAAATCCTACGAGGATCCCGAAACCTTAAACCCTAAACTCGAGTCTCCTCGATTCGACTCGAGCCACATCCGTGAAAAACCATCAACACATCGAAATCCCCAAAGGCATGACCCGACGAAGCTGTCCACCATCGGCCCGGGGAACTCTTCGGTCGATGAAGAGCCGGAGCCTGGGAGATTGCTGGGTCTGAGCAAGCGTTTTGGTCGGGTTTTTTAGGCGCTTAGGGGGTTCAGGGGGCGCCTCAGGGATGTTTGGCTGTTTAAGGGATGTCTTGAGGTTTAGGGATTCAGGGATTTTTAGGGGGTTCTAGGGCTTGGGGCTTTCGGCTGGCACAGGTTTGGATGTGAGGTGGGGTGTTCAAGGGATTTTCGGCTCAGGACCCAGGGAGCTCAAGATGTTCAGGCACTGAACTGGGCTTCGTTTCCTTCAATGGGTGAGGGTAGTGGGTCGCGTGTAGTGTACACCTTGGATTGTAGATGGGATTCTGTCAGGCTGGTCACGGGCCTTCTCACAAGGTTTCACGGGTTGGGGTTTCTGTCACTGAAGCCTGTAATAGGGTTACGGGTGTTGCGACAGGTTGCATTTAGGTTATTGTCCTGTTCCGGGGCTTGTCTTACCGATGTCATGTCTTGCAACTCAGATTGGGATGTGACAGGTACCTTGTTGCAGGGATCCCCCCATCGTGCTGTGTATGACGTGTATAGTATGTGCGTATACAATCGTAGGTCTATAAAAAAGAGAGAGATAGATATAGATATAGGTATGTCTGTGTATACACCACGTACTGGGATCCCTGTACTGTTTTCAGGGACCGTAAGGGGATCGTTTGAATTCTGTGAAGACTCAGGGCACTGGATGCTGAGCTCAAGAGCAAGTTCGGCGTGGGGCCTCTGCCTCAGCAACAGAAGGCTGAGTAAAGGTGTGTTATGAGGTTTCGTAATGGTTTCATGGGCAAGGGCTTATGTTTAGGGTTTCAGGGTTTGGATATCGCAGGACTTTGGTGTTACAGGTATAGGAGGTATGGGTTTACAGTTTGGGTGTTGAGTACGGGGCGCCTACGCACTGAGGTTGGATTCCATCCAGTAGACGTCAGCAAGTCAGCGATTGTGCACAACAAGGACGGGAGCAGCCGCCGTCTTCTGAAATCAGACAGAGTAGACGGTGACTCCTCTTCTATGCTGCCTCATGTTCTATTTGCTTGACTCGTCGGGGTTTTCACCAGCTTGATCTGTGGTTGCCTTGCTTCTGCAGTAGGCCTGAATGCGTACAGCCATGAGCCTCCATGCGGTTGCTCGAGTCCCACCTGTCTTTGGCATCAGGTCTCGCAAATTGCTCATGGAACGATGGCACGATCACCTGCACGACCACTCCGTTCCTTGCTTCACACTGTTGCATACTGGGCAGCATATGTCGGTGCGGCTGACGAGCGATTTCCTCTGAGTTCACAGATTGCCTTTTGCAGTATTTTGCATGAAATACGAACTCTTATAGGCCACTCGATGACTCGATGTTGCAGGAAAGCCTCCTCCAGCGAATCATCATGCTAGAGCTCCGTGTGCAGGAGTCTTCGACGCAGCTGGCGGCGGCCACGGAGCTCTGAAGAACGGCGGCGGCACGAAAGTGCGCCCAAAGTGGGCCCCCCGAGCAGAAGCCGGAAGCCCTAATGCCATTCCTTCATCGACCTCCGGATAAAGATTGCACGGAAGGTTTGGCGGGTCGAAATTAGCCGTCAGTTTGCTGAGCCCTCAGGTTCAAAGGTGAGAATTCCCTCCAGAGAGGGAGGCAAGTTAGGAAGCCAAACTACTGCCACTCGCGAGCTTTATAAAGTCCGAACCCGAATAACTGCAAAACCGCCCCGACAGTAGAAGTGGCGCCCACCACCGAGGGTGGGCGATGCGCCGGTGGGGTATTTGGCAACAGAAGTTCAGCAGATTGTTGCGTAGATCTTTGACCTTAGACAGACCTTGAACCCCAATCCTTGATGCAGCAGCGTGGTTTAGGCTTGGGGACGTGCCCCGACACTTCACAGAGAGGTATATCGGGATGATGCGGTTCGAACACAGCTACACTGGGTTATGGACTTTTGGATGGGGTGCCCTTCCGGACAGGTTTTGCGATAACCATGGAACCAAGCTGTTCGGATCAGATGTAGTTGCATGAACCGAAGCAAGCTTCGGATCAGACACCTTCGCTTGTTAGAAATAGTGTCTTTTTGTAGCCCCGACACAATTAGACTATCATGCACCCCAAGACTCCATGGGATCACAAGTCGCCGCAAGCTCAGAAGGGCCACGATACCACACCGGCGCTTACTTTTAAAGCATCCTGTTAACGCACTGCCCGGAGATCTACGGCGCAAGAAAGTTAAAAAGAATGGACTGGCACGTTCAGGAGCCGCCGTGTTTTCGATTGCAGCGTCTCGAATACCGATTCTTCGCGCATTTGGGCCTTTGGGGCTTCATGTTGTTGTTTGCAAGACATGTGACTCAAGTGCAGGGCCAGGTGACAGCGCAGGACAGCAGAGGCTTTGGAAAGCGGTGCGCATAGCATGCGATTGTTGCTGAATCTTGCTAGCACTTACCGTGAACATCCCTAAGGCCCTACACATACTTAAACCCTATAATGCTGGTAATCTTGCCGCGAAGATACTCGATCCGAATCCGTATAAGCACGCAAGCAGGACAGCAGCAGTCCCAAGTTATCTCTTTGAGCATCTAGTCGGGACCAAGCCCGGCTTCCTGCTAAGAGCACATGATAGCTTCGCTACTACCTGAAAGTCTGAAAGCATCTGAAATCTTGAGACTATGAGGGGTCTGCGAATCTCGGGACTGTCCCCAAACTCCCCTGAATCGTCTTATGGATTGCTGGATTTAACCTCAAAGGGTCAACCCCATTTGCTCGATCCTCGCAGCATCTTCCGCCGCAGCCAACTCCTTCTCCGAAGGTGTTCCCAGAATTTGAGCTGTTCGGGTTTGTGTGTGCTTGGGCACTCTGCTTCAACCGTCTTGGCATTTCTTAGCAGAACTAGAGGTCCTTCTGCGGGTGCTTATGTTGAGTGTTCTCTCATCTGCGGTCCGAGTACAGGATGACAAGATATGCTAATCAAGATCTACTTGGAGGCTTCTGCCTGCAACAGTACGGGCGAGGATGGTTTGAGCGTCGATGTAGTACCGGTGCCTTGTGATGGAGCGGAGCAGAGCGCCTTCTGCGACGTCCGGGGGCCCGGACGACATGTCACAGTTCAAGCAGCATGAAGTATGGGTCGAAAGTCCCCGAAAGCCGAAAAAACCCTTGCCACGCGCCTTTTTTTCATGCATGGCGAAACCGAGCCATCCGAAGCCTCCGAGAGTTTGGGCTCCAGAGTTCCTCCTGCTGTGCCTTGATCACGGATCGATGCCAATGGCAATGGCGCGTCTCTTTCTGCTCGCCCTCGCCAGCTTCTCCGGAGGCAGGAGGGATAAATGGAAACGGGCCTAGAACTCGGGCGAGCTGAATCAAGAAACTGAGTTTATGTCTTCACTCTTGTGCCCTTTTCTGCCCTTCCCTACACACCTACACTCCTGAACCCTTGAACCCTGTGTCATATTTTAAGGGTCCCCGAAATTACTCCTAGCTCCCAATCCTAGAACCCCCAATATAGAACCCTTATAGATCGCTCTAGGGATTCCTTCCTAATAGTAACTCCTATAGCCATCAATGTTGGTTCTCCGAGCCCTAAACCCTAAACCTTATAAACCCTATACTAAACCCTAAACCCTATAAACCCTAAACCCTAAACCCTATATCAACCCTATGTCAGGCATCCCTGCAGTCGCCTCAGCAGGAGACCAAGACGCCCAAAATCTCCTGCGGAAGGCGAGCCGAGATTTTTGGGGCTTACATTATGAGTTCAGGTTGTCGGATTTGGGGTTCAGGGCTTTGGGTTCCGGGTTAAGGGTTTATAGGTTTTGAGCCCCATGGGTCCCTCCATGAAGATCCGTCATATCTTGAGTCTCAGGAATCTTCTTGGATTAAGTGGTCTGGAGTCTCTGGGTGGGGAGGGGAGGGGAGGGGAGGGGAGGGTAGGAGAGGGTAGGAGAGGGTCGTGGCAACTTGCCACCTCAACCATCATAATTAGGGTTGGTCTCACTGGCCTTTCTAGAGTACACGCAAGCGCAAGAGTGCTTCTGTGGAAGAGTACTTCTTAGAATGGCCACTAGCTGACCGGACACCCTTTCGCAAGCCGGAATGAGCACGCACAGGCCGCCTTTTTGTTAGCCTTCGGTCGCCATGCACCACATCTCACCGAGCTAAATCGAAGAAGTGCAGCTTTCCAGGTTCACAGCGATAACCAACAGCTGGCAGATGGGCTTGAGACAGAGGAAGAGAAGGCAACGTGGCCAGACTCCGGGTTCAGACATCCGAGGTTTTCATTGAACCTTGAAATTTCCAGCCTTTAGTCGTCATGTACCATCTCTCACCGAGCTAAATGGAAGAAGCGATTCTTTCCAGGTGCAGGCCAACATCCAGCAGCTGGCGGATGGACTAGCAAGGCAGAGCGAGAAGGCAAGGGAGCCCATCCAAAAAAACAGTCACCAAGTAATCGTTCAAGCACTCTAGTACCAGAAACACCGGTCAAACCCCGGGCTCGAATTACTCTGCCTTTCGCCTGCTCCCATCCGATGCCTCCTTTGTGGTCTTCAGCCCAGTGGGTCTTACAAGCGAGGTATCTTTTCAGATTCAGAACACCGGGGGCCTACCAAAACCCACATCCATGATGGGGCACTTGGCCAGAGTGCGAGGTGCGCGAAGACGTCCAGCGGCTGGCAGACCGTCTTGCAGCCGAGAGCAAGAAGGCCAGAGGAGGGACTTCAGGTCGAGGTTTAAGGAGGAGCAAGATAATTAGCAGCCTGTTTAATAAAAAGAGTCGACTCAGAGCTGCCTGGCTCAGAATTGCGTTGCAAAGCGCTGAACAGAAGCACCTCGAGGTGGCGGACGCAAGCTCCGGAGACGATGCCGAAAGCCTCCTGAAGGAAGCGAAGGCTGAGGTGCCCGTGTAGCATATTCTGGGATGCGAGACTATGCTGTGCGGGAGGGTGTGTGTGTGTGTGTGTGTGTGTGGTGTTTCTTTGATGGAACTTGCGATGTCTCGTGGCAGATTCCGAGAGAACCTACAGCCGTAACCGTAAGCCCCGTGAAGGTCACGAGCCCCTCACTAAAAGGAGGATAGATCAGAGCTGAGGTCGGTTGGTCAGGCTGTCACGTGGCTCTGAGTTAGGGGCTGATGGCTTGAAGCTCCTGAACATGATTTTGATGGGTTTTTCGGATGCAGTTACGCTTCACAGGCGGGAGTTCGCTTCCAAGTCGTCGCACAAGCTCTGTCGTCCCTGCACGCAGTTGTGCGCGCGCACTCGACCCCCGAAGCTTCCCAGGTGCAGGCTGTGGAGAAGTCCGCACGGACTGCGGCCGACCCTCGGATGGCATAGAGGCTGCACGACATGATGTTTCAGCGCCTGCGTGCTGATTGTGACCTGGCGCGAGTCGATAATTGCAGCATTCCGAGGACCGTATTGAAAGATTGCTGAGAGCGGATGACCGGCAGGCAAGGTGCTGGGTCCTGAACCTCCGATCCTCAAGTTGATCTGATTAAAGTTGCCATGACAGTAACTTCCCTGACAAGGCCTACCAGGTCGGCACCGCCACGGGGATTCCGTGGAATGCCATTTGGCCCTGTGCGGTCATGGTCCTGCTGATCTACATCTACCTTGCCGTGCACCTGCCCATGCCGAACTGCAAGGGCTACGACTACGAGCGGCTCCGACTGGACGAGGAGTCTGACAAGCAGTCTGAAGAGGAGTCTGATAGGGAGGACCCGAGAAATTCAGGATTGCTTCTGGACGTGGACAAGAGGGACCCAGCCCTGGTTTTGGCAGCTGTGCTGTATTGGGTGGTGATGCCCGTCGCTCTGGTCACCCTAGGCTTCGGAGCGACCTGTGCAGGGGGTGCCCCCAATGTGGCGTTCATCGTCTACGGTGGTTGCTTCGCCATACACTTCGCATGCATCTTCTGGGCCATGACAGGCTCGTTGAAAGAAAAGGTGCACGACACGCCGATGCTCCTCTCGTGCTTTTTCCTGGCTGCTCTGGAGCACTTTGACATGGCGTCCGATGCGCTCTTCACAGGGACTTCAGCAGCCTGTAGTGACGAGATTACGGACTTATGGCTGAAATCCTGGAACGACGTGCCCGGCTGTGGCTTCCTGGTGCCCGTGCTCTCGAAGCTGGGCTTCTCCGGTGTTGCACTCACGATGCTCCTCTGGGGTCCTGAAGGGCACTTGTTGAAGTTTCTGCTGGTCTTGGGGGTGAGTTTTGTGAAGCCTGAGTTCTGTCGAAGCTTAGGTTCGTGACGAATGCATACTTACCACAACTTCTCGTCGTTCTCGCTTTCGTTGCACCCTTCGTCGCCCTTGTGTTCGTGACCCTCGTCATCCTCTGGGCAGCCTTGGGTTGCTGGGTGGGCCTCCCGGCCATGCTGGCGGTCTTCGCATTGCTGATCCGCAGCGGCTTCGGACATTGGCAGATGGGCGAGCTCCAGCGTGGTGCTTTATGTGAGGACTCCCTCCTGGCGCTTTACGTTGGAGCCGAGATCGTGAAACTGCCAGATTGTCCAGGGCTCGGTGGAGCTGAGGGCCGAGCCCTGTTCATCCTCGGCACCAAGCTGGTCTTGGAAAACTTGCTGCAGCTATGGCTCCAGAGCTCCTACCTCTCCCTCTCCTACGACCGGATGGACACCAGCGCTCGCTGGCAGGCGATGGCCTCCATCGCTGTGGGTGTTTGCGTTGCAGGCCGCCTCCTCGGAGCAGTCTTTACGAGCACCTATAGCAAAAGCCCAGGGTAGAAGCAGCCCCACAATAACAGAGGCCTTTTTCGTTCCCCACACTCGATCCCGACGGCTCTTGAAACCTCGCAGGTGGCAAGGGCCTCAAGATTGCCGCTGTGGCAGTGCCAGCAGGCATAAGGAATGCTGAAGATATAGTTCGCCAACGCCAAATATACTGGTTATTGGTGGGTGCCATCGGAGTCTTTATGATGCTGGCCGGCTTCGGGTGCCTCGCATGGGTCGTGGCCAAGGTCGTCTTCATCTTCCGCTGCGACTCCCACGTTTGGAACCTTTCCACCGGCTGCGTCAGCCCGGAGATGTAGAGCTCCCATAAGGGCTAGGCGCCCAAGGCGCCTGAAAGAAGTCGGACAGACTCCCGTGCTCGACGGACAATGAGACCAAGCTTGATGTTAATTGACTGTTGGGGCAACCACAGATTCTATCAACAGCAGCTGCGCAAGAAACATGAATAGTTTGCATTTTCATCACTGCTATCGGTTGTGCCAATGCAAGCAGCACGGACGCCAAAGGCGCCAGACAGAAGCTTCCCCAAAGTCGGTGAGCCTTCCTGGAATCGAAGGGAGAGTTTAATTTGATGCATCGGTGTTATGGTGCCCTGCGAAAGTGAGCGTGAGGGACATCTCCATGGTTCGCGGATCCCCCTGTTCTCCCACATCCGTTTAGATTTGTCAGCGATGTTCCATGCACTCGTCCACCGGTTTCTGTACTGCCACCAGCTTCCGTCCACTACGACCAGGAGGACCAACCGCCGCAACTACCAAGAGACCACAGACCCACCAGACTCCTCTCGAGCTTCGTAGGCCGAACTGAAAGCGATAGCCCTGGCCAGTGCCAAGGATCCTGAACTCGACGCGAAACCCCAAGGGTCCAGGGGACCCAATAGTTAGGTACTCCGTTTTGGGATCGTAGTTATGTAGGTTAGGATTTTGGGGAGTATATGCTTATTACAGCTACTTAGACCCTGAGGGCCTTAGGGAACTCCTATAAACTCTTATGTTGAGGCCCCGAGCTCTGGCAAACCCTGAGCCCCCAAAGCCCAAACCCGACACCCTCAAGTCTACGAGACCTAAGATCCTGAAAAGCCTCACATCCCCAGAGAACTTTTGGCCCCAGAAAGCCCTAATCCGCAAGCTAGAGACCCTGAAACCGCATACAGCCCTAGAGGCCCCTGAAGCCCTTATAAGCCCTATAAGACCCTATGAGCCCGAATCATCGAAATCCATTCAGGCATGACCCGGCAAAGCCCCTAAGCCCTCAAACCTACGATGAGCCCGAAATCCTTTATTTAAATCCCTATAGACACCCGAAACCGCCCTAAACCCCTAAAGCTGCCAAGAAGGCCTGACCCGACGAAGCTGTGCACCATCGGCCCGGGAAAACTCGTCGATGAAGAGCCGGGGCCTGGGAGACTTCCAGTCCTCTGAGGTGTGGTTCGGGAGTTTTTGTAGGGTGTTTAGGGAGTTGTTTTGGTGGTTTAAAGGGGTTCTTAGGTGGTATAAAGGAGTGTTGACGCGTTTTAGGGTTTATTGGGTTGAGGATTTGGGGGGCTTTCGCGGTCTTGTAACTACATGTGTTAGTGGGTGTTTAGGGGTCTGGGCGGGTTTTAGGCCTTTGGGGGATTTCAGTGTGTCTTGGGGCTTGAATGGTTTTTTTCTAAGCTAAGGCTCAAGGGGTTGGGATCCTGACAAAGGCTTCCTGGGGGCTGAGTTTCGTGTGCTGAGGGTAGCAACGGGCACGGAGGGTGGAGGGTGGGGATGTAGCTGGAGCAGTGAGGCATCGTCCACGCGGGCGCGGATGACATGTCACAGCTCAAGCAGCTCCAAGCACGGGTCCAAAGCCCCCCAAAACCGAAAACCCGTATCCAGTCTGCTTCGTTCATACGCTGCGACAAGCGAGCGATCCGAGAATTTGGGCTCCAGAGCTCCTTCTGCAGCCCTTCGGTCGTGGAGCGATGCCCACGACACGGGGCGGCGTCCTTCTGCTCGCCGTCGCCAGCGTCTTCGGAGGCAGGAAAGACTAAAAGTTTGGGAGGGCTGGATCCTGCGAGAGCCAAATCTATCTACTCTACTAGATGGGATGCTCCCTGCATGACAGGCTCGGTAGGCTGACATGCCTCACAGGTTTGAGTTGGTTCCTGAGCTTCCCTCTCGGAACCCAGGATCAGGAAGCTCATTCAATGCCTCATGACTGCACTGTTGGACAGCCCTCCTGACTGAACCATAAACGGCCTGTTTTGGGTAACTTTGCGGTTCTTTTTCCCCGCCGCCGGGCAGGCATCCCGGCAGTCGCCTCTGCAGCAGACGCCCAGGATCTGCTCGCGAAGGCGAGACTCTAAAAGGGTGCTTAAACTATGAGGCTTTTAGGTGCAGAGTTTAGAGCTGCTTGTCTTCTGACCGGGCTGTGAGAGTGCAGAGTTTGGGGTTTGTGTGGTTTAACTTCATCTCCCTCAACTGCGGGTCCCTGTAAAGGAAAGGGTTTCTATTGGTGTCTACTATATCTTGCTTCGGTCTCAGAATTTTGGATGAATTGAGGTTTGGGGGGTTTTGGAGTGTCTGTGTGGGATGGAAGGCTCACGGCAAGAGTCTTGAGTCGACGCAAGCACAAGAAGTGCTGAACAACAGCTCATTTCTGAAGGGACAACCGGGATGAGCAGGCAGCGCATCCCAACTGCTTTGTCTCAGAGTCTGTGGTCTTTGGTTTCCAACCGGCTTGGAACATGTTTGGGTTCAATCTGGACGAAGCCCCGCACCGCAGTTGCAAATGCTGAGAGCTGCCATGCAGCAGTGGGGTGCCATCCTTTTGACGCCCTCCTCATTGCACAACGAACCTCGGAAGAGATTGTTCGTTTCCAGGTTCACAGCGACGTCCAGCAGCTGGCAGATGGACTTGCAGCACAGAACAAGAAGGCAAGGACTCCGGATTCTCGCAGTCTAGGGTTTCAGTGAACTTGAAGGTTTGAAGTCTTCGGTCCTCGTTTCCTCTTCTTTCCTGTTCTGTCTTACCAGGGACTAAAAGAAGAGGTGATTACTAATTATTACCTAACTCGCTTCAGATGGCTCGCTTCGTTGCAACATGTTGCAGCCGTCACCCAGCTTCTTGACTCTCGCCCTCATGCACCCTCAAGTCAGTACTGTAAGTGCCCCACTTTCCACCGAGCTACATGGGTGGTTGTCAAAATTATGGTCCCCTTCTGGGTCCCTATGATAATACGGCAACTATTATTTAGGTTACCCAAAGAGGGACCATCATGTTGACAACTACCCACATGGAAGAAGCAAAGCTTTCCAGGTGCAGGCCGATATCCAGCAGCTGGCAGGCGGGCTTGCAACGGAGAACGAGAAGGCGAGGGAGCCTTTAAGCAGAAATGTCACGAAGTAGTCGTTCAGACCCTTCTAGTAAGTGCTTGAAATTCCGGTCAAACTCCGGGTTCCTCCTCTAACTTTTTGACCTGCTCCCATCCGTTGCTTCCTTTCCGCGGTTTGGCCCAGTGGGTCTTAGAAGCATGGCCTCTGATCAGATTCACAACGCCGGGGCCTTACCAAAACCCATCGTAGGTGCACGAAGACGTCCAGCAGCTGGCAGATCGTCTTGCAGCCGAGAGCGAGAAGGCCAGACGAGGGACTCGAGGTTGATCTAGAATCAGCTGAACTTGATGTTGATGGTTGTTCTTTGCAGTTACACTTCTTAGGCGTGTGGCCACTTCCAAGTCGTCGCACAAGCTCTGTCGGGCGTGAGGAGGCAGAGAAGAGATTATCTGGAGTTGATGTAGAGTTGGTTAGAGCATGCAGACACCTTGGAGTCTACTCATCGTGCCTCTCAGTGAAATGTTCCAGATGTCTTGCTTGATCGAAGAAGGAGGCCGGCGTGTCCGCTGCAGAGAAAGCCGAGTCTGTGAAGGCAGAGGAGGCGAGGGACGAGTGCACCTGCTTCCGGTCTTGCGGGCTTTTGGACTTCGAAGGGCGGGTGTTGTAGGACTTTGGCAGGTCCGGAGGTTTAGGGCACCCGGGATCCGAAGTCCGAGATGAATTGAGCTGTAAGACAAACTGAGTGTGTAGAGGCACAATTCACTTGGACTTCATCGGCTGTACGTTGGCAAATCCCCCCTGATGTCCTTTGCCGCAAAGACGCAAGGTAATGTAAAACCTCACAGATGTGCAGCGGCCAAGCCGTTCAGGGTTGAGGGTATGTCATCATGGTTTACTGCCAAGTGCTTCGCCTTGTTTGCACTGAGTCCCCAGTGTGAGACGGTCTCCACGTGATGGGCGGTCATTGCGCTTTATAATACATTGTTGTTACACATGGACATATGGAATCATCTGCTACGATTTATTCCTATATGTGCCAAAATCGTTTCAATGCCAAAGCCCAAATTAAAAACTGGTAATAATGAGGTATTAGTGGAAGGGTCGATGTATCGATCATGACAGGCAGAGGAGTTCCAAGGCGCCATGTAAGGTTGACTGACTGTCGCAGTGCGAGAACTACGGTGGGCGTTCGGAGGCAAACATTTGATGATTGAACTGCGTCGGTTCACGACCGTGCCTTGAAAGTTTGCCTGGCCTGGTGATCATGCCTGGGCAGCTTCTGAGAAAATCCCGGGCTAATATACTCGAATGCCAGCACCACAGCGTGCAATATGTTCAGAGCCTTTGTGCGGTCGCTCTGTTTCTAGTCCTAGACTGCTACCTGCTACTTAATTATAACGGCTTCCAAGATGTCCAATGGGAACACAGCGTCCACATGTGTGCGCGAGACCGAAGCTGCAAGCAACTGATAGATTGCACAGGAGTCCGGTGCAAGCTCTGACTCCGAAGATTCCCCGAAAGAGGCCCAAGCCGAGGCCCGCCAGAGCCTTGTAGAACAGACGTATGTGCTGGGGCTTTCGGTGATGGACGATCTCCAGGTTTGAGTTTTGGCTTGGGGGGAGTAGGTGTTTCGTCTAACTGCTAGTTACATGGACGAGCAACTTATGCAAAGGAACCAGTTTTGAAGTGTCTCCACCTTCAGCAGCCTGGTCCCTTTGCCCACCCATGCCCTAAGAGAGGCAAGATGTACGCATTAATTTCTGCAGTCCTCATGGCGGTTCTGTACGCTCATGAACCCGCTGCATGTCGGGTGTGCCGCAACTGCAGTCTGCTGTGCCCCAGTGCACTCGCTAAGCATGCCTGGCATGTTGAGATGATCCCAAAGAGAGTCCAGAAACGGCTTTTCCTTCCTGTTAACTTACCCTTGGTTCGTAGGGAATGCTCCAGGAGAATAGTAGTTATCATTGTATCCCATTCCTCCATTCCCTACTAACCCAAGGTAAGTTAATCGAAGCTGATGTGAGACTTGGGCAATTCCAGTGAATCTCTTAGTGGCTGCGCGCAGGCATCTGGAAAGGGGCCCGTCGAAGAAGGCCCTCCAGCAGTCGATGCATCGGAGATGACCAAGGATGCCCAGAACCTTCTCGACAAGGCGACATGCAGGGCACGCAGGGTTCTGGAGGGGCTGGAGTGAATCTTGACCGGCTCGTCGCAGCTCATGAGATGTTGAAGACGTGCCCGCGGACGCCGGCTTCAGGGTCGGGTGAGACGACGGTCGTGATTTGTTCGTGGATCTGCGGGTCTGTCCCATGACACCTACACCTAGCTCGTTCCACATTGAACTAGGCCCCAGACATAGCCAGTCGCTCAAACCCCGGCAGATTGCAGGCTTTAGGGGCTCAGGAGTTCACTGTAAGGGGGCTCATTGTTGAAATGCTGTATCCCAGAGCGAACAGTGCACGTGCTCCAGGCTCACCAAGACATTGAGCAGCTGGCAGATCGGATTTCGGCCGAGCGCCAGAAGGCAGGGTTGGGGGGCTGAGGGTGGCAACCTAAAGTGCGTCAATCATTTTGACGTGAAGGAAATACTGTATCCCTAGGGATCTAAGGACTCATATTAAGGCTTTTGGGCCCGAAGACCGTAATATTTGAGGTTGTTTGGGCTATGTTGATCCCCAGGGTATGATAGCTCTATATGTACCGGGCGAAGCCCTTCTCCCCACAGCCCGTGCCACTGAAACCTCGATGACTGCCTCGTCTGTTTAGGAAGCTGAGGAAAACCAAAGAGTTTAGGGTTACGTGTTTATGGGTTAGGAGCCCTAAACCCTAAAAGCCAAACCCAAATCCCTAAACACCACACCGGAACCTTAACGCTAAACCCCCAAATCCTATTCTCGTTTCTGCAGAGTTTTCCCAGGCTGGTCAGGGTCCGAAATGACTTCACCTTTCAGGTTCAAACCCTACAAGCCACTGTTCCAAGACAGTTCGACTTCGCAGTCGCAGACACATCTCTGGATGTATTCATAACATAGATATACTAGGACCTTAATAACTAGCAGCCCTATTAAAGATTGTTACTGGTTTAGACTTTTCGTTCGAACTTACTTCACAATTCGGTCTCGAAGCTCATAGCCCTGCCCTGAGGTAGCCGAGGCCACCACTGGAGAAGAAGCCAACGATCTTCTGCAGGATGCGAAGGCTGAGGTGGCTCTTCCCAGTTTAGACAGCTGGTCGTGGTAGGGCGAAGGGTTTAGGGTGTATGTTTGTTGGAGTTTTGGGGCCTGAGGGTTTGGAGGGTTTACAAGCATATAGGCTTATGGGGTCTCTCAGGATTTGTACGGTTCGGCCCTAAACCCCTAAACCCTAAACCCTAAACCCCTAAACCCTAAAAAGCTGCCAAAGAAGAAAAATTGTCCAATCCACTCCAAGAGCTCGGAAGATGAACCCCCATGCGACGAAAGGGAGGCAGTCTAGCTACAGTCTGCATTGTCATTCCATTTTTTGGGGTTAAACCCGTTTTATATCTCGGCTCTGAGGAGGTAACCCGAAAAAAAGAGCTACAATGGAGACTACCTAGAGGCTCCAAAGTAGTTCCTTTTTAGGGTTCATATATAGAATCCTATAAGGTATTCCCAAAAAGGAACTACTATGGAGACTATGGGTATGGGCCTATAGATAGAGCCGACGTCCTCTGAGAGCTGTTCAGGTGCAGGCCGTGGCGAAGTCGGGGCAGTCGACTGCCGAGTCTTGGATTGCCTTCGGTTCTGAGAGGGTTCACGACGCGTGGGTCCTGGGCCACTGCGCAACATCTGCAAGACTGAGTGTGCGAGTAGACAGATACGTCGCTCCGAGGACCGTCTTGAAAGATTGAGGGATCGGCTGGGAGCAGAGGACCGACAGGCAAGGCTGAAAGAGCTTGAAGGGCCTTAGGGTTTATAGGTTTAACTTCGAATCTCCAACTTAGTTGGTCTAACTTGCCATGACAGTGACTTCCCTGCACGAGGAGGCCCAGGAGATCACCGCCACCTCCGCCGGCACAGGGATTCCGTGGAATGCCATCTGGCCCTGTGCGGTCATGGTGCTGCTGATCTACATCTACCTTGCCGTGGGCATCTTCACCCCTGACTCGATGGGCTACGAGCAACTGGAGGTTGACCGGAGGGATCCGGTCCTGGTCTTGGCAGCCGTGGTTTATTGGGTGGTGATGCCCATCTCTCTGGTCACGCTGGGCTTCGGAGCGAGCTGCGAAGAGGGTGCGCCTACTCTGGCTTACATCACCTACGGTGTTTGCTTTGTTTTGCACTTCCTTTGCATCTTCTGGGCCATGACAGGCTCACTGAAAAGGAGACTCCACGACAGTACCCCGAAGCTCATTTTAATGCTAGTGTTTGCGGCGCTGGAGCATTACGACATGGCATCTGATGCGCTCTTCACCGGCACATCAGCGGCCTGCAGCGAGGAAGTTACGAGCTTGTGGCTGCAGTCCTGGCATGCCGTGCCAGGGGGCGCTTTCATGGTTCCCACGCTCTCTAAGCTAGGCTTCTCCGGCGTGGCGTTGATGCTGCGCCTCGGTGTCTGCAGCACTGCTTCTCTTGCTCCATAGTCTCTATGGTGCTGTCGAGCCTTGGCATCCAGGATGGTAGATTTGTCCTTGGAGACTGACTTTGCTCATCTCAGGTTTGTCACGAACGCTTACGTGCCGCAATTACTTGTGGTCTGGGCTCCGTTTGCACCTTTTGCTGCACTTTCCTTTGTGGCTATGGTCATCCTTTGGGCCAGCTTTGGCTGGGTTATCGGCCTTTCAGTCATCCTCGTGGTTTATGCTTTGGTGGTGTTCAGTCCTCTGGGGGCGATGGAGATGGAGGAGCTGAAAGCGGAGGCTTTAAGCAGCGATGAGCACATTAGCACCTACCTTGGCGTCGAGATTGTGGAAACGAAGGGACCCAAAGAAAAACGGCCCCTCGTGATCATGGGCACGAAGTTGGTTCTGGAAAACTTATTGCAGTTATGGCTGCAGAGTTCGTACCTTTCACTCTCCTTCGAGACTAGGTAGGGCTTCGGGACATTTTATATTTTCCCTTATTGAGCTTAACAGGACCTTATCTACTAATATTTTTGAAGGGCTTTAAAAGCACCTCTTAGGAGAGAATGGACACCAGTGCTCGCGGCCAGGCTATGGCCTCCATCGGAGTCGGCCTCCTCGTTGCAGGCCGCTTCCACAACGGACCAGTCTCCGTAATACAGCAGCCTGAACTATTCCTTAGGGTTCCTATTCAATTCCACGTATAGTGTACCTAGTGTACCGTATACCCCAAACCCTCTTATCGCATAACGCTTCCTAAGCCCATTCTAGGCTCTCTAGGCCCTCTAGGCTGAGCAACAGTGAGCGGAAGACGCCAACAAAAGACTCAGCAATATGTGAGATTTCCCTAGGTGGCAAAGGCATCCAGATCTCGGTGATCTTGCTGACCATGATGCATGAAGGTGGTAGAGATGCATGCCGAGATGCGTGCGAAGATTGTCAGGGCTTTTCGCTAGGCTTGGGCATTATCGGAGTCTTCATGATGATCGCCGGCTTCGGAGGCCTCGCGTGGGTCTTGGCGAAAGTCGTCTTCATCTTCCGCTGCGATTCGCACGTTTGGAACCTTTCCACCGGCTGCATCAGCCCGGAGATGTAGGACTTGCAAAGGACGGGACGCCGAAGGCGCCTAATCACTCGAGAAAGAGCTTCCCCAAAGTCGGGAAGCCTCCCATGCACGATGGAGGTTGACGGAAGTAAGGGTGTTCAACTTCAAAGTGCCCCCCACTATGACCCTAGATCCCCCACACAGCCGACGTTGACGCGTTTACGCTGGGTGACCCCAAGATGTCCCTCCTATGACCCTTTTGATAGCTCCCTACAGCCTCAGCAGGTGATGTTGGGCGCCGGGCCCCGTCCAGAGCCCTTGCTTCCTGCCCCGACCATTTGCAATTATGCCTGCGTGAGTCGATGAGTTGAAAGGCTACAGATCGAGATCAGCAGAGTGGGAGGGTGAGAGGTCGGCTGTGCAATTCTCATTCGCAGTGGCATTTTTCGATCAGTTTTCGTATGCTGGTTAACAGGTTTCGTGGCGATGGTTTTGAATCAGGGAAAGCCTCGTGGCCCCTTTGCTTGTCCTGATGAGCACATGCCCCAAAGCCCAGATCTTTCGCCCTTTGTATTCTTTCATTCGACGAACTGAGAGAATCCCTTCCACATGCATCAGGACAGCTTCCATGGAACAATCTTTTAGTATGCAGTCTTCAAGATGACCCAGCTTCAATACCTGGGTCCTCTATAGTCTATAAGAGGATAGGAGGATCTATTGCGTGATGTAATACCTCAATATAAAATATTACGGAGCATGTGGATGTTGAGGTTGCATGAACATGGGTTCTAAATCTAGGTCCGGTACTGGTGCTAAGTCAAAGTCATGTTGGTGCATGCGACTACCGTCTGCCGAGTTGTGGTCTCGGCGTCACCCCATGGTGATCATGCTCATGTGCAACATGACGGAATCGACGTCGTATTCCTTCCCGTCCCAGCAGGGATCTACAGTGCTTCATTGCTCCAGCCTAGCTGTCTAGCGCAGTTCTACGACCTCATCATTGCACTCGGGCGCAGCTCCCCTGGGCTCCCCCTCCAGCACCTGTATACCCAGAGGCTCCATAGTAGTTCCTTTTTGGAATTACCTTATAGGATTCTAAATATGAACCCCAAAAAGGAATTGCTATGGAGCCTCTGTATAAATTGTCCCAAACCACACAGCCTGCAGATTGACTAGCATCTTGCAATCCTGCACCCTCTATCCCTGGCCACAACAACTTCAGTAACCTTCCGACTTGTCATCTGCTCAGCTGTCGCCTTGATGCGGCTGCTACCTGGACCCCCAAAGTATGTAGAATAATGGCCTTTTATAGGTATTGGGCCATTATTTCACCTACTTTGGCGGGTTTAGGTAGTTATGCTCCGTCGCTTGCGCGGATTTGCTGACTCGACTGCAGAGTTTCGCTTCAACTCATGCTGCGTAGTGAATAGGAGCATAGTGACACATTCCGGGCATTTGTGGAGCAATGCCTGGCGGTTACCAGTCCGTGCATCCTGTTGAGAAAGGCAAGTTTGTCATGAAGAGCGACGGCAGCAGGTTTGCAGCTTACCTTCTTCCCAGCACTTTGCCGTCAATGCCCAGTGACCTCTCTCAGTTCCGCATGTCCAGCGTGGAGGAGGTGAGGAAGAACCTGATGGACATCCACAGCCAGGCCGAGTTGCAAGACTTGTGTGAGAAGTTGGGTGTCCGCCCGGAGCAGAGAACGAAAGCCTCGGTGGCTCAACGCTTGGCTGACGAGCTGGTACGGGAGCCTGAGGTGGATCTGAGCAAGGCAATTGAAAAAGCTCAGGCTCTGGAATCTGCCGGCAAACTGCAGCAAGCAGCAGCTGCCTTCGGTGCGGCCTTGGCGCTTCCGGGCGATGTTCTGCTGAAGGGGCTCTCGGCATTGTGCTTCGTGAAGCTATCTTTGCAACAGAACTTGCCGGCGAAGTTGCAGGGAAAAGAGCCTGAGGAGCCTGGGATCTTGTTAAGTTTAAGTTAGGGATCTATAGTAAATGAGATGGTTTCTTTATTATATGGTAACTTACACTAATTCCTGAAATCCTAAACATAGGCCTAAACCCTAAACTAGCCATCAGTAATATTGTTTCTTTAGCATAAGCCCTGGAGTTGTCGGAGCGGGGTTTTCTTGAGGCTCCTAAACTCTAAACCACCTTACCCCTAAACCCCCTTAACCCTAACCAGGGCCAAAGGAGTTGTTGGAGCTCGACCCTAAATCCCTTAAGCCCTAAACCCCAAACTAACCCTCAATACTATGGTTTCTTTGTTATGATTCTACTAAACCCAAAACCCCCTTAACCCTAAACCCCTTAACCCTAAACCCAAAACCCCCTTAACCCTAAACCCTTAACCCCCTTAACCCTAAACCCAAAACCCCCCTTAACCCTAAACCCTTAACCCACTTAACCCTAAACCCAAAACCCCCCTTAAGTAACAAGAGCCCCCAGGAGTTGTTGGAGCAGGCTTTGCTCGAAGCTCGCGGGGCTCCCGCGCGCAGCCGTAGCCTCGAGGGCCAACTCCTCCAGGCGCTCAGCGAGGTCCTCTTTGGTAAGGTGGGAGCCGAAAATTAGGGTTTAGGGTTTAAGGTTTAGGGTTTAATTAGGGTTTAATTAGGGTTTAAGGTTTAGGGTTTAATTAGGGTATATTTAGGGTTTAATTAGGGTTTAAGGTTTAGGGTTTAGGGTTTAAGGTTTAGGGTTTAGGGTTTTTTCCTTAGGGTTCCTTGAATGGGTTACTATAAAGGTAGTATAAGGAGGTCTTCTTTGGTAAGGTGGGAGGTGTACGAAAGTTAGCGGGGCACCTTATTGGGTTCCTTTAAAAAGGGTTATGATGGTAAGGTGGGAGGTTTTCCGAAAGTTAGACCCTAAACGTTAAACCGTTTAGGGTTTAGGGGCACCTTACTGGGTTCCTTTAAAAGGTTACTATAAGTGTAGTATAAGGGTTCGTTTAGTGGGCTCCTTAAGGGTTTAGAGTTTTCCGAAAGTTAGGAGTAGCTTTTTTTCGGGTCCTTATCGGGCCCTTATGATAAGGACCCTGCTATTGCGGGGTACTATATGTATAGGGTCCCCCATTTTCGGAAACCCGGAGGTAAACAAGGATGCGAAGGCCATCGACCGCGCCATCGAGGCGAGGCAACAGGCCCGTGAGATGATCATCGAGGGTCATGTTGAGGCTTTGAGCTGGAAGCTGTCCAAGGTGGGTGGTTGTCAATATTAGAGTCCCCTTTTGCGTCCTTTTATTATAACACCAAGGTGGGTGGTTGTCAATATTAGGGTCCCCTTTTGGGTGCTTTTATTATAATACGGCACCTAATATTGAGGGTCCCCCTTTTGGGTCCTTTGATTATATCTACGGCACCTAATATTTAGGGTGCTCGAAGAGGGGCCATAGTTTTGATAACTACCCAGGTGGAGGGCTTTGCTGCTGCAGCCGCCGATGACGAGGCTGACCACAAATGGCTGGAGAAGGACGTGCTGCTGCAAAGACTGCGGAAACTCGGTGCTCGAGCGGAAGATGCAGACTACATCAGTGAGCTCTTTGAAGCCTGGCACCATGTGGGAGCAAATGGCGCGGAGGAGCTGTCAGTGCATGAATTTCTGCAGCGCTTCCTCGAGATTGCGCGCAAACTTCCAGCAAAGCAGTCGAAGCAGTGCGGTGCACCCTGTGAAGGTGGCCTGCCACCTGGCTCTGCGCCGCTAGAGCGCGAACTGGTTCGACTGGTTTCGCGGGATGGGAAGGGAAACTGGTCGGCAAAGGCCGCAGAAATCCGGGACTCCTTTCCGGAGGAGACCGCAAAGTCTCTGGAAGCGCTATGGGAAAGGCTCGCACCGAAAATCAAGCAGATCGTGGATAAAGATGACACCATGGCATGTGGGCACAGCTGCAGCACCTGTCCGACGAAGCATGAATGTCAGGTTCATGATGCGATCAAGGACATCGAAGATCTTTAGCGTCCGAAACCTGCCACCTGAAGGGTGACATTGATTTAGCCTACAAGTTTCACAAACCAGTACAAGGGTGGTTGTCAAAACTATGGTCCCTTTTGGGGTCCCTCTTATAATACGGCTTAGAAGCTGCCCCCACCCTGTAATAGTGGTATAATAGGAATATAATAGAGCCCTAATATAATAGTAATATAAGCCTTATGGTCACTATTACAGGGTGGGGGCAGCTTCTAAAATGCGGCACCTTTCTTGGGACCCCTGTTTTCACAACCACCCGACAAGTTACGCAGATTCTCCTCGGAAAAGGCTGCTCATGAGCTCCACGCATCGCGGGGCCGGACCTGCTTTTGTAGTATCCTTCAGGGAGGGGGGTCCAAGGGGGGTATATAGCCTAGTGATCCCTAATTCTCCCTAGTACTCCCTAAGGTTCCCTTACAGTCCCCTAAGGATTCCTTATACCCTCCCCCCTTGAACCACCCTCCCTTAAGGATCCTATAATGCTTATGGACATGAGGTTGCAAGCATAATGAGAGGGGCCGCCCGGTCTTTTTCCCCAATCCTTTCCTGGCCACCTTTGAGCTTCTGATATGCTCTTAATATGCTATGGCAATAGATGCTATGATACATAGTATAGTATATGCTATCATATACCCGAGTATAATCTAGTATGCTATAGTAAACTATGACACACTAAAGTCTACTATAGTGTGTTATAGTCTGCTATCATATAACATCGCTTACTATCGCATACTATGACCATGATATACGAATGTCCAGTTCAATATACCATATCTAGCAAATGTTATGGTTTAGTATAGTAGTGGGTCATAGACCATTATAGTATACCACATCTGGAACATACTACACATATTATAATAGTACTAGAGTATTAGACCATTATATTATACCATATGGTCTAGCTAAAGGCGTGCAGCTCTTGGAGTCGTCGAGCTCGAGCTTTGTCCAGATGTCCGGAGACCGGAGGAGTGGAGGCCGAGGGTAGGGGTTTGGCTTTAGGGGTTAGGGTTTTGGGTTCGGCTCTATGGGGTTTCGGGAGTTCTGTTAGGGTTCAGAGGTCAGAGATTTTGGTTTAGGGATTCGGGTGCCGAGATCTGGATCGGAAGCTGCCGATTCGAGGCTGCATTGTGCTGTGCACGTGCAACTGCAAAGCTTCAAGCTCTGAAGCCACTCCTGAGCCCCCTCGTCGTCCAAGCTCTCACGCAAAGCCGACCGGGAACTCCTCCCTTGTCCATTGGCACGTGGGAAGGGGTGGGTTCTGTAGGGCCTGCATAATAGAATAAGTTTCCGTGTTATATTAACTCTGCCGAGAATATCATGGGACAGTGGTACTAATAATTCAAGCAGCTAATTACATTAGTGCCTGGTCCAGACGGCCGTGTACTCTTAAGCTTCCACACGAGGCGTTCCTCCTTCGGTTGCGATAGATAAAAACCAACGCTTGATCAGCGTCCCCAGCCCGACAAGCAATGCGAAGCCGTCTCAGTTTCACCCTGTTTTAAACCATAGATCCTAAGCCCAAAACACCGTAAGCCCTAGACCCTAAACCCTAGACGCCGTAAGCCCTGGAAAGCCCGTCCCCTCGTCAGGCTGGACCCTTCGGATCAGCACGCTCGGCCCAGTGGACAAAAAGCTGGATTTTCTGGCATACCGAGGCCCTTAAGTATCCCAAAGGGTCCAAGTATCATCCTGGTATATACTTATAGGGCATTTTGGGGGTCTAAGTATGTCCCATGATGATACTTGGACCCTTTGGGTATGTATCGATTTGGGATAAGTTGTGATTTCCCTTATTGTTTAATGAAGAGGCTTTACTATAACTAATATTGGGGACTGCTGGAATGGACACCTAGTCAAAGAACCGACTTTTTCAGGTTGTGGTTCCTTGTATGTGTCCAAAGATTCGAGTTTTAGGGTTTAGGGTTAGGGTTAATACGTGCAATCTAACTCGGATTTTTTGTGATAGAGAGGATTGCCCCAGAACTCCCGTAGCAAGGACCCCAGCTCCGAACATCTAATGTCAGCTCCCCAAACTTGCTTGTTTATCAGGTCCCTGGTTCGGTTCCTGAGTGGTACCCGTTTACCCTTTTTTTGTTTTAGCCCCTTATTCAAACTAGTAGGATACCCTTATTCTAAAGGGCCTACTCAGGAGCCTGGCTGTAGAGTATGCATCGCTTTCGTAGTGAGGAGCTACAAAGGGATTATGCGAGTCTAAGGTATCTAGGGGTGCCGAGTATCAGGAGCCTATGGGTGAGGGAAAGGCCCACAGATCTGCACGCAACAGAGGCTTGCTGGTCAGTGCTCACAGCAAGTATCCGTGTTGTGCGAGAAGACTTCCGATTCTGGGTTCTTGTTGGGGAACTTCGTCTTTAAGTTACCATGATGAGGATCTATAGTTCAGAATAGGGTTCCTTCGTATGGTAGTCTCAAATAAAGTCGTTAACAAGAACCCAGGATTGGATGCCACATTTGCTATAAACTCAGAGAGGCAAGGCTGTCGGCCCAAATCCTGCAACCCTGACCCAAAGCCCTAAACCCCTATGCCCCGGAAAGCCCAAACAAACACCCAGCTCTCTAAACCTTGAGCCCGAAGAGCCCTAAAGCCCGAAACCCACTTCCAGCTCTCATTTCAAAATCCTTCCGCAGCCGTTTTTGGGGACGGGACGAGGGCTAAGACCAGAAGTCACTCCGCACGCGCCAAGTTCTCTGAAGTTCAGACCATGGCTTGAGCCTCAGCCTCTTACTTGGAGGTTCAGGGATAGATATAAGGGGCCCTTTAAAGAGATCTATAGGGATTCGATAAGGGTATATGGTTTAGGGTTCATGGGTAGTTCTAAGTACGGGATTGAGGGTTTAGGGTGTTGGGGTTTTGGGGCGGTTCACGCGGCCCGTTTTGCTCATCCTTGCTCTGTAGTATAGGCACCATAAAATACTAGAATAGGGTTTGGCACCCATTATAGTCTGAGTCTAATTGTCATAAGGAAACCCCCAAAATAGTCACTAGGTAAATATTAAGGCCACTAAAGAAAAGGTTTCAGGGTTTAAAGGTTTATAGAGGGTTTAGGGGTTCAGGGTTTAGGGGTTTGGAGCTTTGGGGGTTTAGGGTTTGTGCCTCCTTTGAAAGAACCAAATGGTAGTTTGTTTCTGTAGCAAGTGCACATAACGGGTTTCTGGGGTTGTTTTAGCGTTTGGGCTTCATATGGATTGTGAAAAATGCTAGTTACCGTCAGCAGAGCATATAAGGGCCCTTTGAGGGCTCTGCAAGTGTTATTTACGAGGCTTGAAGGAAAATGGGTTTCAGACAATTTCGTGCGCGTTAGCGGTGGGGCTCTGGGGTTTGGGCTTCAGGCGTTGGGGTTTGGGACTTGTTTTTGGGCATTCGGTTTTATAGGGCTGTGTCTTTGGATTTTAGCGTCGGGTAGGCTTCGGGATTTTGTGTTCGGTCTTCGGGCTTGCGGGCCCTAAACCCTAAAACCTAAACCCTAAACCCACACCCGCAGATCTAACCAAAGCCACATGACTCAATGACTAGAGCGAAAAAGCGAATCCCTACCGGAGTTCTCCCATGTTTTGAGTTTTAACCTACGCGTCAAAACCCCACAGCCCAAGTCCTCGTGAAACCCACGAAACTTCCTAAACCTCTAGATTCCTTAAATCCGGAGAGCTTTTGAAAGATCAGAAAACATTGAAAACCCGCCAGAATCCAAGACCCTTAAACCCTGACCAATTTATAGAGCCCATGTAGAGACGGTTCTGAAAAGTCTGAACCTTCAAGCCCAAATCCCACAGCCCTCATTCGAAAAGAACTGTTAGCATCCTTCTAGAACCCTAGCTAAGAATTCCAGCAGAACCCTTGCAGAAAGCTCCAAAACCGGAAACCCCAACCCTAAGCCCTTAAAGAGCCAAACAAGCCCAAATCCTCACACCCGAAACCAGAAAAAAACCCTAAACCGTAAAACCCTCCCAAATCCCAAAAATCCCTCACAAACCTGAAATCCCAACAAACCCTAAACCCTAACAACTTATGCTTGGTTAGTAGGGAATGGAGGAATGGGGTACTACTATAACTACTATTACTACATTCTTCCCATTCCCTACTAACAAAAACCCTAAACCCTAAATCCCTAACCCTAAACCCCTAAACCCAGGGTAAGTTGTAGAAACCTGCAAAAAGGCCTCCTATTCCAACATCCGGGACTTTGGCATCTCCAACCGCTTCAGCGGGCGGGGGACCTCCTGAGTTCCCATATGGGAGTTTCCGAGAATAGGGGTACCTTAAGGTTCCTGTATAGGGTTACTATAAGGGCACTATAAGGGTTGCTATAAGAGCTACTATAAGAGTTGATATGGAAGTTTCCGAAAATCGGGGTACCTTTTTGGGGGTCCTTCTAAGAAGGATCCTACTATTTAGGGTACTATATACGGGTCCCCTACTTTCGGAAACTCCCATATTCATGAAAAATGGGGGGGTTGGATGTGGGGTTTGGGGGAGGGGGGGGTGTTAATTATAGTGTTTAGGGTCTGTAGAGTTTAGGGTCTTTTGGGGGTTTTGCCGGATTTCGGGCTCCGCAGAGTTTTAAGGTTATTGCGGTTTTAGTTGGGGGTTTGGGGCTCACTGGTTTTAGTTTATACGGTTTTAATTAGGTGCTTTAGGGTTTTGCGCGTCAGGGTTTAGGATTGCTGTTTTGATTTGGGGTCAGGGCTTAAGGCTTAGGACCTGGCTTTGGGTTCAGGGTTTCGATTTCCAAGCGCTCTTGTGAGGGTCCAAGAAGTGTCGATGCACGCATATTTCGCGTTTACGGTTTCGTTGTTTGGCGCCACACAAGCATTCTCAAAGAGTTCTACTTTCTTAGATCCTCCATCTACCCCTCTATTAGACCCTAAATCCCCCTTATTTGGGACCATTTACCCCTATTCGAGGGTACAAGGAGGGTCCTACTTTTGGCTGTTTTAGTTTGAAGGCTTGCGAAGTCAATGCTTCAGGGTTT